TTAGGGCTGTTGTACATAGGGTCGCTATGAGTCGCAAGTGACTCGACGGCACATAACAACAACAACAATGCAAAACCTATACTTTGACCAAGAGACACTCATTAGAACAGAGCAAGGAGACCCTGGATGGTTCAAAATCAAGAAAGGGGTCCTTCAGAGATGTATTTTGTCTCTATACCTTTTCAATTTGTATGCAGAATAGATCATCCGAGACTCTGGGCTGTACGAGGAAGAATGTGGCATCCAGACTGGTGGAAGAATCGTCAACAATCTGCGTTATGCAGTTGACACAACCTTGCTCGCTGAAACTGAGGAAAACCTGAACACTTGCTGCAGAAGGTCAAGGACTGCAGTCTTCAATATGGATTGAAGCTCAATATCAAGAAAACAAAGATTCTCACCACTGGGCCAATTGGCAACATCAATATGGATGGTGAAGAGATTGAGATAGTTAACAGTTTCTATTTACTTGGTTCCACAGTCAACATTCTTGGTAACAGCAGCCAGGAAATCAGGAGATGAACTGCATTGGGAAAGTTAGCTGTGAGAGACCTCTCAAGAGTACTGAAATACAACAACGTCAGGCTGGAGACTAATGTGTGCCTGATCCAGGCTATAGTCTTTGCAATTATGTGCTATGCATCGGAGAGTTTGACAGTGAATAGAGATGATAGAAAGAGAATTGATGCCTTTGAGTTGTGGTGCTGGAGAAGAGCGTTGAATATACCATGGACTGTTAGGAAAACAAACTGGTTTGTTCTGGAGAGGGTGAAGCCAGAATGTTCCCTGGAGTCAAGTATTCTGAAGCTTCATCTGACATACTTTGGGCATTTTGCAAGGAGGGACTGGTCCTTGGAGAGGGACATCATGTTTGTGAGAGTTGAGGGATGGCGCAGGAGAGGAAGACCCTCGATGAGATGGATCAATTCTGTGAGTGGAGTGGTGGGAATGAATGTGTTTGAGACAGCGAGGTTGGCACAGGGTAGAGCAGGGTTTAGGGCCTTTGTACATAGGGTTGCTCTGGGTCACAAATGACTTGATGGCACATAACAACAACAACCAAGGATATTACATACTTTTGGAACACGTTTCACATTAACATGTGGAAGACTCTTTAAAGTCTTAGGTGGAGAAGGGGTGGATTCTGGTAGGATTGCTTGACTTTTATTTCCCACATTTTTCCAATATAATACAATTCAAACCTACCAACACTTCCTAGATAGAATGATGGGTGGTGTCGTCAGTTACACTATCACAATCAAATAAGTTACATGAACCAATCAGTTACAAAGCCACAGGAATGATTTTTTTTTTCTTTTTTAGTATCTTTGAGTGCACAGCAACTGCTTTGTTCATCCTCTCTCCCCTTTTTAGGGACATACTCACTCCTCCCCCATCTCTTCATGACTATTTAAATCCTTCTAGCAGGGACTCTATTTATGTGACTACAAGATAAAACAAATTCTTAATAGAAGTGTATTAATATGTTCAGCCCAATGTTTTTAGAACCATTATTTTCTCCTAGAATAATTTAAAAACTGACTGAAAACAAAGGAGCTCTAATGGTCTAGTGGCAAGAAGCTGAGTTACAATCCAGAAGGCACACGGTTCAAATCTACCAGATACTCTTCTGGAGAAGGAGGGAAAATCTCCTTCTCTGCCAGGTTAGATCTGTGTAGACTGTACACAGCAACAACAACAACAAAATAATTTAAAAAATTTAATGGAAAGATTTTTGTCATTTATCGAAATATTGCACATCTGATCTAATAGAAACTACATTTAGTTATATTAAACCATTTTCACTGTCTCTTTTATTGCCATTAAATCAGAATCGACTCACAGCTGACCCTCCATTCTGAAACTATAAATCATATGGGTTGAGGAGATTGAACATCTTTCTACCTTGAAGCCCCTAGTGGAAACAAACTGTAGTCATGT